TGTTTCGGAATTTTGGTGTATGTTTGACAGAGGTACATCACGTCCGTGTGTTTATGACGACCGGTGGCGAAGTAGGCCTTTATACAGTCTTGCTTCTCCGTTGCAATGTCGTCGAATACGAAGACGCTGCTGGGCTTCGCTTCGGAGGGGGGAACGATACTATCGTGTTGCGGAGAGGAATGAAAGGGAATAATATCTTTCAACACTTCCTTTAAAAACACGTACATAGGCTGCCCTTCGGTGGTCGAATACAAATACACGTTTTCGAATTTGAGACCGTTCGACGTGGTGAGCAGCGTCATGACGACGTTCGTTTTACCGCAGCCTGACGGACCAACGACGAGGGCTCGAACGCTGTCGGGTAAGATGTCACCGTGTCGACTCCCACGATCACCGCTGTGATTGTTTTTCAACAATCCGATCACGTTCACGATTGGCAGCTTTGTCGTTTGTGGAACGGTGGAGCTAATGGCGCGGTGTTATCCATGTGAAGTGTTTATATTGTACACATTATTCATTGACAACTGTTGATTTTCAAAAGTGAACGCGTTACGACAAAGAGTACTACAGTTATTTTGTTGAAAGTTTAAACATTTTATTTGATGTACAGTGTTAAGTATTTGGTCTTCAGACTTGTGCACAACCACCGAGCCGGAAGCTGCCGGAAGTTGCCGGAAGTTTGCCGGAAGTTTGCCGGAAGTTGCATCCGGTCGCGGTCGCAGCTTGTTTGCACTTCCTGTCGTTAACGATGTGTGTGCGCTACGCTAGATGTCGCTCTCGGTTCTCGTGCCAGCACCATTCTCCAGCGCGAGCGCAGCGCTGTGAATATGCAACGTTTGAATAATTTTATTTTATGGACTACATTATGATAATAATAATATTCGCCCAGAACGTCATGTTTTCCAATGTGTCGCGCTACAACAGGAGTCAGCGTGCGAGTGTAAATTCGAGTAACTGGTTCGTGTCCTACTGCGACACATTTTTTTTGCTGATGTTGTTAATGACATGGTCAGCGAATGCTTTCTATGACAATATATAAAAGAAAGAAATAAAACATTTGAGGCATACAATTATAATAATAAAAAAATTGTATTCACCCAGAACGTCCTCTTTCTCCATTGTGTCGCGCAAGCACAGGGCAAGCGCGCGAGTGTATATTTCACGGAAGCTTTCCATGACATTATAAAGAGAAACAAATAAACACAATTGATCATAGTTACATTTGTTTTTGAAAGATGAACATCTTTCGACGCAGCGATAGATCGAACGAGGGTGTTTTGAAAAAGTAGATGGAAATTACGCCTTTCACGGTACGCGTCTCACGCAGATAGCTCATCCCGAAGAGCTTGACGATGCTGTTTCCAAACATTACGTAGACGAACGGCTTCATCATGCCGTCGAATCGTTTGCCTTAAAACGACGAAAGCGAGTGGCGGTCGATGATACTGGAGTGGAATACGATTATGATTTGGAAAAGCGCCGTCTCAAGAACATCGGGGCGGCGGAAGACGAGACAGACGCAGTTTCGAAAACGTTCGTAAAAACGGAACTGAAATAATTGGAAGAGAAAACCGCTTCGAAGAGTTTCGTGGAACATGAACTTGATCGTCTTCAAAAGAACTACGATGAGTTGCAAGAGTCGCTCGTCTCGAAGAGTTTCATAAAAGATGATCTCAAAAAGCTTCAAGAAGAACTGAATACCTTGAAGGAGACAATAAAGAGTGATATGGATGCATTCGTTAAAGGACACCACACCGAATTGGAAGACAAGATGGAAATGATGATCTACCATTCAGATGCACGAACCATGAGTCTGACCAACGACATCATGAATACAATCAACAGTTTGCAGGACAAGTTGAATAAGTTGAATAGTAAAACAGAAGCAATTGGCAACCATTCGATTTTTCGTATTGCGTTGGCGGAGTAACAAGCGGAATTAGCACTTTCAGTTTCAAAGCAAATACAGTCCGAACGAGAGCATGCCGAGACGCTCGTGTCTACGGCTAGAAACGAATTTAAGACCATGTTGGAGGCTCACGAAAAGAAAATCCCACGCGGTCTCTTGGATATTCTTCCGGAGGTCGGATCGTCGGGGAATTACAATTTTCACAATAAGCTCATTCGAAAGGTTGGCAAGGGCACGGCTCCGACGGACGTCGTGAATAAAGAACAATTGGATGAGGTTCTAAAAGAAGTGAAAACGCACGCGGACAGTCTTAGTCTTGATCATTTTAATGAACTAAAGAAAAATATAGGTAAAGAGGTGAGGGAGGCAGTGCTGTCTAATACTCATTTTCAAGCCATAGATATTGAGATGAAGGCATTGGAAGCACATTGGAAGGCATTGAAGGCACATTGGAGAATTGTTAAGAATACTGCGAAACGACGTGAATGAGACCAATAATCGAATTGACAAAACAGACGGTGACTATGAAAATGAAAATAACGTTATAAATGCTCGTGTTGTAAAAATAGAGAAAGCTGTGACACAGACGTTTAGAGCGTCACGCTCTTATGCAGATGAACTATATAATAAGGTTATGCTAAATGTTGAAAAAATGATTAAAAAACAATCTTGAAAACATTAAAGAAATTCCTAAAATGATGACAGCGGACGTTCTATTAGATGTGGGAATTATATTTCAGAGAAAACCTTAGAAACGACGCTAGGACTCCATCAATAATCAATATTAGTCGAACATTAAATCGTTCTTGGAACATAAGATAAAAGGAAAAGTATTTTATAATGAAGATTAGTCTTCATTCCATCTCCAGACGACGATGTCGATATTATTCGATGACGAAGCGACAAGACGTTACGCTGAAAAAACGATCAATGGGATTCCACATGAATTCTCGCATGTCATCACGTCATTAAGAACAAAGGATTGGACACCTGAACAGAAAGATTTATATCCCATTTTTTTAGAGGATGGAGGTTGGAGGGCGGTGTTAGCATCAGCAACATCGATTAAAGAAATAACGGACCTCCACCACACAAAAGCTGATTTGAAAAATAAATATTTTATGTTAGATGGATATGGTGATTTTTATAAAGTCGCATGTACTGCTAAAATAAAAATTGTCTCGGCTCTACCCTATGAAAGTGTCCATCTCTGGATAGATGGAAAAAATAATGGTCTTATACAAAGAGGACGCTCTTTTAATGCAAAGAGAGGTGACCGACTTCAATTTGAATATGGGTGATCTGGGCTGTCCGGGTGACGCCGCGTCGAAGGCTGAGTTGCCGACGTTTCGACCATCCTGTCGTGGTCTTCCTCAGGTACTGGCATGATCGAAATGAGTCGACAAGAACGTCACGCTCGTCAAGGACTTTAACGTTATCGTCACATGCAATGTTGTGGAAAGCGGTTATATTATTAATCGAAGAGCTCATATTCTTTATCAGTTCTACATTGACAAGCGACCGTCTTCCATTTTTGAGGTGAGACCTCCGGAGAAAGTCTTTCATCGCGTCACTCGCAACTAGATTGATGATATAACGATAAGACTCGAGAACCCTGAAGGACAGCTCATTCCGTTGCGAAGTGACACATCTCATCGTGACGTTGCTACTTCGCACTGCGCACGATGACATAAAATGAGAGTCGTGCCTCGACCGCGGCACACTGTACTCTGTCCTACCAATAGATTAACACACGCAAATCGTCTGCTGTTGCAAGCGCTAGGCTACGTTCTCAGAGAAGATGAAAAGACAAAAAAATCACAACCAGCTCCCGCCGGTAGCAAAGACTATCTCTTAGACGTGATCCTCAATCAATATCCATTCGATTGAAAAATTAAAGTTCAAGGCTTCAATTATCATCACTAAACACCGTATACGAACGGATAAGATTCAAACGATGAAATTCGCATTATGATACAAAACAAAGACACCTTCACCGTTCCATGCGAATCGACTATCATCATCGAAAGAAAGGCAATCAAAACAAGTGGAGGCGGACGCACACCTGCCAACTTTATCAACAACGTCTACGCATTTTTATTTTCCGAAATTTGATATGAGATCAATGAGGTCCTCGTCGACAGCGTGCGTCATCCTGGCATCGCATCCACCATGAAGAACGTGCCGCACCTCAGCGCCAAAGAGCGTACATGGGACATCTCGATCATTCGCCAAATGAAGTATTGATTGACGATGACGGTTCGTTTGTGGCCTGGATTCCTCTCAAACTCTTCCTTCCGTTTGCGGAGGACCACAGACGCATCGTGGCTGGCGTGAAGCATGAGCTCATTCTTACTCGCACTCGAACAGACAACGACTGTCTTCTATCCAGGGAGGAGCACCTACGCCGACGAAAATAGACATTCAACGCATCGTTTGGAGAATGCCGCACGCCAACCTCAGCGATGCCGGTAAAATGCATATGTACAACATTCTCAACGGTAGGACAAGTATACCTATTAAATTCACGAGGTACGAACTCCATGAATCAGCAAATTTGCCGCTTACTACACGACACGGGTGGACGGTGAAAAGAAGCAGCGGAGCGGAGCATCCGCAATACACCATCTTCGCTATGCAAACCAATCGTCGAAACGATTTGAAAAAGAATCCTAGCGAGTTCGACCTGTGCGATTTAAGAACGATTAAACTCTTCATCAACGACGAGTTTTATCCTTAGCATGACATGCACATAGGATGGAGCAAGGATGGTACGCATATACCGGAATTCTTCGAAAAATTTCCAAAAATCGTATTTGGATCGTCATCCTATTTCATATATTACATATCGCGGAGTAAAAGTAGGAGCGCGCGGAGCCGACGATCGCCTCTGTATCAGATATTAAAATATTTTTCGAATGCAATTCGAACGTGCCCGCTAACACGTCTGCCTTTTGTCTCATTTTTTACGAACGACACATGGACTATCATCCAATCACAGGACTCGTTCGCAAAGTATAAAAATCATGTAAAAAAATGTGTTGTGACACTCACATTGTCGAGTTGTCTTCAATCATGAACACAACGGAAGAGAATAGTATTGCGCGGGACTCTTCTCCATCATGTAGTATCTCTTGAAGAAGAAGAAGAAGAAGAAGAAGAAGAAGAAAAAGAAGAAGAAGCTTCCAGCAAAGCTAATGAAAAAAAGAAGATAAGGATGGTCGAGAAAAAAGAAGGACGAAAGAAGCGCACTAACAACAAAAGCGATGAATGCGCTCATCCTTGCATGAAACACTGTAAGTCATCGCATAAGGCAAAGAATAAAATTAATAAAAATAAACTACGTGATAGTCATCGAAGGAAACAAACAGCATCTGTCTTCAAAAGACAACGGAGGACCCTTACTTCGGCTCCTCCTTCGCAATCACCGTCGTCCCCGGACACGACACATTTATGTTGTGGAATAAATGTTCAACAATGTGTGCAACATGCAACAAACTGGCTAATGCATGCCATACAAATGACATTTCTTCAAAACCGTACTCCATCTTTATTTTGTGCTACTGACTATGATTCTGTTGGTGATACTGCTACTTCTTCTGTTCGCGAAGATCATCATGTCTCCGCAGGTGAATCATCAAAAGAAGAACAACAAGAAAACGTGAACGAACTATTTTCTTTTTTGAACTAAATAATGACACATTCTGTCCTTTCGAAATATCAATGTAGATGTTCATACATTTTGTAAATGAATATACTTTGTTGTTAATAAATTTTGTAAAACATTTAGTCTTTTATTTATTTTCCAATCAAACACCAAGTAGGACATCCTGTTATTTATCTTTATTGATTTGTTTATTGAATAATGCAACAACATTCACTTGATGGTTGATGAAAAGTTTTATTTCAACTTCAGACTTGTATGCAGGCAGACGGTGGTATGGCGGAAGCTGCATCCGGTCGTGCACACGCGTTTGGAATCTACACAATTTCCCGTCGTTAATGAACTGCGCAGCTGCGCAGGAAGTCGCCTGCGGTGTCTCATTTTTGAGCTGCTACTGCAACTTGCGTTTAATTCTGACTTTTTTATCTTTAATAATGGCTTTGGTTGATTTTTTGTGGCAATTCGAACGGGCAATATTGGTGAAGTGGTGAGGATACTTCAGCAATATCCTCATTATTTATACCAGCAGATTCAAGATGGACGAATGGCGCTTCATGTGGCAGCCGTCTATAATCGACTGCGCATATGCATTCATCTGGTGGGCGTGGGCGCCACCATCGACGCAACAGACCGTTATGGGATGACGGCGCTTCACCTTGCCGTCACTCATAATGCCACTGAGGTGGTGGAATTTTTGTTGAACAGTGGTGCGTATTATAAAATTCGAAACAATATGGGTTTCACGGCGGTGGACCTCATCATTGGCCAAGGGTCAATCATCGCCCCTCCCCACCCGCAATTGTTGCGATTATACGTTTCAATGCTGGTGGGCAACTTGGCCTATGCGGTGGGGTCACCCGTGACGTTGATTTATGGAGCGCCGCAGCCAACAACATCAACATCAACACCAACAACATCAACAACAACAACACCTCAGCAGGCAATGGAGGCGTCAGCGCCAGCGTCGACGTTGAGTGAAACCAACGGACCGCAGCGCCGCTGGCGATTAAGCGGTTCGCTTTTGCCTCTGCGCCGGCCGCACTCAACACCGCCACAGCTGCAGCAGCAACAGCAGCGGCAGGTGGAACAACAGCAGCAGCATCAACAGCCGCAGCAGCAGCATCGACAGGTGTATACGTCCTCCCCACCAACAACTCCGAGGAGGACGTGCACACCATCTCAGAAGTGGGCACATGCTAGCGCACGTCGGGCGCTCCGTGCGCAACGACGAGGACGTTCTCTACCGCCACCACCGCCTCCAGCTCTTCCCATCGCGGACCTCGCGCCGGAGGAGCTGGAACGATTGTTGCAACGTCCTCGTGTACGCAGCCATTCATTTTCTTCTGGTGAGTACTTTTGAATGATGCTTCATCTTTCATTTCATTTCAATGGTCATCTATCAATTCTTCTTTAAATGTTAACATAAATAATGTTTTGTTTCATTTCAGATGTTACTGAAATCGGTGTGTTTGATGATGATGATGATTGTGAACTGGATGTAGTGAAATAAGAAGATGATGATGAAGAATTAATTTTAGGAGTTTAAAATAGTGATATATTAATTTTTTTAATATTTTTAATATTTACTGATGTATATATGTGTATGTGATGTGTGTATGCGATGTATAGATGTGATTTATGTGCTGTATGATATATATTATATATTAATAAATAATAATTATATAAATTGATGAAATTCTTTACCCTATCACCACCTACATAGGATTCCTAAAATTTAAAAAAAATAATAGTTTTCCATTATGAATAAAAGAAATAAAACTCTTCGAATGATTAACACTTCATGAATTTAATACTTGAATTCAATAATGAAAAAATGAAATGAATTTCAATAAAGTTAATGTGAATATTATTACTTTTCATTACTTTAAAGCAATAATTTCAATAAAAAATACTTCTCGATTGATGGCAACAAAATTGTTTATATTTTAATGCATTCTTCATTGAATATATTGATGTCTTCTAATTCTTAAAATAATAAAACTCTTATAACCATGATTCTTAGACAAATACCCTGATTTTTAAAAGTTTAAATATCTCCTCCCATATTCCATGATTGTGAGAAATTTAATGGGAATATTATTGCTTTTCATTACTTTAAAGCAATAATTTTAATAAATAAAAATACTTCTCGTTTGATGACAACAAAATTGATTATATTTTAATGCATTCTGTTTGCAATAAATTGATATTTCATTGAATATTGATGTCTCCATTCATGTGAGTAATTCTAATTTTTCAATGGAGAGAAGAATGAAGGAAGAATGAAAAAAAGGAAATAAGACAAGGGAAAAATTAGAAACTCTTATAAGATCTTATTCTTTTTTATTTTTCATCGTTGTCATACAAAAATATTGTTTAAAATATAATATACTTCATTCCGTATTCCATAATTGTCTTCCATTTTTTTTAGTTTTAAATGCTCATAGGGATATAATAGAATGACATGCTTTGTTTGTTGGATTTTTTCCGAAATATATTACATGTGGCCTTGATCTTATAAATTGCTCCACCCCCATTTCGTCGATAAACGAAGTAAATCTATAAATCAAAATAAATTATTAATATATTTATAATTAAAATTAAAAATAAGATTACAAAAAAATTATAATACTAATATACCTTATAGGTAAAAATGTACTAAACTTGTCGTTTAAAACGACAGCGTAATTTTCAGTGTTAAATCTTTCTGAAGTAATTTTTTGCACTAGTAATTTCATATGCGATCCCCTTTGGCAAGTCCTCCCAATGTTTTGATATTTGTGAGGATTCTGCTCGTTGTACTATAGCACTCCAAATGTCCTTAAAACAAAAAAAATTAAATAAAAAATATTCTTTCAAAAATTAATAATTAATTCTACTTACGTCTCTTTGGGTGGAGAGTATATAAACACGGGACATGCTGGATCCGCGACCAGTCGCGGCGCCGTGGCTTCACTAATACAAAATGGTTTGAAATATGAAAGGTATCCGAATGGGCAACTGACTTGTCCATCATGTGCGCCCGTCTTCACGACGAACAGACACAAAGCTACATGAGAGGCGAAAAAGACTATTCAGACATTATTCTCTTCATGCATGCGAAATACTGTCTTCATGGAAGATTCTCGACGTCTCTTTAAGACGTCGCTCTCAGGCAACGTGTTTTTCATCCGCAAATATACAGTCCTCTTCCCTCTCCAGACGAAAATACTCCTTCCGGATATTGAGCCGCAAGACTTATCGTTTGTAACGTCTAATATGAGGTCTCTCTCACCAACGCTGCATTCAGTCAGCGTCACGCAACATGACAACTGAAGCAAGAAAATCACCGCCCGCGAAGTTCGCCTACGAAGATTGTCCCGACGACAGCCCGGAGGATGCTAATGTACCAGCAAATGTGAGTAACATCGTGAGTCTGCAACGATCTCTCCGCCCTCACGTCTGAAAAAAGGTGGCAACAAAATCTCCAAGCTGGGATATCCCCCTTAGTATGGCAATGCTCCTACCACCGCAAAGGAATTCACATGAAATCAAATGGATCATTTCGATAAGAAATAAGAACAGACTAGTATGACATTGCCGTTTTCATGCATACGGACAGTTCTTCCCATCATGAATCATCTCATTTCGCAATCTCAAGATTCATCACTCGATAAACCATTCCAAAACGCAATTCCATCTGAACAAAACCCGACTGCGAGGCGAATATGGCATTCATTGGAAAGATGTGCAAAACCTCTTCCCACACCAACAGTCAAAGATCTGATTACGAAACGCCATCCACGATCACATCCCCACGCAACACGAGACGAAAGAGTCACACATCCACTGTCAAGATTTAACGGACAGCGTAAGCGGTCTTGGACGGAAGAAAAACAGAGAGCGATGTAAACGACGACACGCAGATTCACTCTCGACGCATTCGAGTTACAACACCATGGTTCAAACATGTCCTTCGCAATGTTTCCGCAGTTCCAAGATATTGCGGATACAACGCCGCTCCATCTCGCCGCGCGACATGGTCATCCTCAAGCCATGCTGTATCTCATCCCGTTGTGCGCACATTACATAGCAAGACACGGACTGACGCCAGAGACGTCGCGCAACGGAAGTGTGTCAAAAAAAGTGTATCCGATTCAGACAAAATCGTCCAGTAACATTTTCTGACAGATACTAACGATATGTGTTTGTGTGTAGTGTGTGTGTATGCACGACAGTGTCAAATCATCATGTATTTTTTTAAAATGATAAACATCAATCAAAAAACATTTATGAATATAAAGCTTTCTCTACCTTACTCTCTCTGGTTCGTTCTTGTCATTTTCCCTTTTGTCACACCACCGTTGCCAGAAGAAAAAATTCCTCTCCCCGCTCCCGTTTTTGCATCCCTTAGGTTTTCGTTTGCAAGTCTGTTACACAGGGTAGGCAGCAGGCAGGCAGTCAGGCTGGAACGTGACCGTCACGGCCTCCCAGCAGTTATGCGCGGCGCGCGACCTTCCACTCGCGGCCTCGGACGCACCGGCTCTTGTCGCCTGGATGTGTCAACGATGTGGACG